AAAAAAAAAAAAAAAAAAAAGAACCCCTAATGACGAATCGTACTGGAAATCACAGCCTAGGGAAGCACGGTGGAAATACAGAAGAGGTCGAGGCCTCCAGCCAGGAAGAAAATAAGGTGATGGAAACAGCATCCCTGGAGCTATTTGCTTATTTTTCCCTTCAGCAAAAAGTGCTGAGTCTACAAAGAAAAGAACTGATCGCCATGAAAATTTTTATAAAATAACGATGAAAATGGGAGAAAAATTGAAATGTTTTAAGTGCTCTCCATAACAATTCGAAATACAATGCGCTTATAGATTTGTTTCAGAAACATTCATTCCACAATAACCAGCCACCGTTGCTTACCAATGTGGCTGAAATGTCAGGATGCAAACGTGGTGTCCAGCACTCAAGGGTCCAAAGGGGTCATCCAGCCTCCCGCCCCCGGGCGTGCGGCTGGGTTAGGAGGCCCTCCACCGAGCACCCACCTCTAGCCGGCCTCTTTAAGGACTCGCTGCCTTCTTTTCCCTTCCCTAGGGGCCTGCCGGCAGGATGAGGAGCCAAGGGCAGAAACGCTCATTAAAGACGAATCCCCGCAAAGGTCAGTAGGCGCAGCTCCCCGCTGGCAAGCGCGGTGCACGCCGGGAGCTGGAGTCGCAGCCCGCGCCGGGCCGTGAGGGGCGGGGCCGGCGCCTGGGCGCGCAGGCGCATCCCGCCTCCCGGACAGCATGGCGGACACAGTGCCTCAACCGGCCAAGAGAAAGCGGGAACGGGACGCTGAGGAGGCGGAGGACTCCAGCACCGTGGACAAGGAAGGAGGCGTTGGAAATGGCACCTCTGCCCCTGTCCGCCTACCGTTCTCCGGCTTTAGAGTGCAAAAAGTGCTGAGGGAATCTGCGCGGGACAAAATCATTTTTCTGCACGGGAAGGTACCATTAAGCAACCCTGGGGTAGGAACGCGAGAAGGAGTGAACCAATCATCGCTTTGGAGGCGGGTTTTTTTTTTTAGATCTCGGCCGGAAAATACCAGTCATACTACTCGGGGGATGTGGGGTGCGTCACTAAAGTGCATGGGGGGAGGGGGGTGTTGGTAAGAGGCGACAAGATCACCCATGGAATGAACACATCTAGGTCTAATTTTACAAGTTTCCTCTTCACTAGATATATCTACTAGTACTTGTAGAGTGTATTGCAGATTAAAATCCACGTGTTAAGTTCCCCAAGGCATTCATCATCATTCAAAATATAAAGGGGTAGATGTTGCTGGATGTCTTGCACGAACCTTGTCTCTGGAAACGACATAGAGACTGTAGGAGGTATAGGAACGCGAGAAGGAGTGAACCAATCATCGCTTTGGAGGCGGGTTTTTTTTTTAGATCTCGGCCGGAAAATACCAGTCATACTACTCGGGGGATGTGGGGTACGTCACTAAAGTGCATGGGGGGGGTGTTGGTAAGAGGCGACAAGATCACCCATGGAATGAACACATCTAGATCTAATTTTACAAGTTTCCTCTTCACTAGAGATATCTACTAGTACTTGTAGAGTGTATTGCAGATTAAAATCCACGTGTTAAGTTCCCCAAGGCATTCATCATCATTCAAAATATAAAGGGGTAGATGTTGCTGGATGTCTTGCACGTACTTTGTCTCTGGAAACGACATAGAGACTGTAGGAGGTAGATCCCTGCTATACACGACTTCAGCCCTAATAGGAGACAGAGTATTACATTGTTAATTCACTTCCACATATCACTCACTTTCATGCATGCCAGTGAAGGGACCAAGAGAAGACTTCTCCTTCAGCCCCCTGAAGAGTCTCTGAAAAATCAGCTGATAAACACAGATTCACATGAAGAAAAGGCATAACAAATTTATTTGATCATAGTCTACGCAACACAAGTGCCTTCAGAATAAAGACTCAGAGATACAGGGAAAACTGTCAATGTTTATGCTTAGGTTCTGTGAAGCAGGAACAGCCTGTAGAAATGTGATTGGACAAGAGAAGTATGCTCTAATGCTAAGAGGCCGAGTGGGGAAACCCAGCAAGGCCTGTCCGTTCAGTCTTGTTGGCCTCTCTGTGTAGCATTCATTCCTCCAGGGTATGGGGCAGGACCCTTTCTGGAATGGGGGTCTTATGACCTACAATCAGACAAGGTAGGTCAGAGAGTTTCTTCATGGCCAGCTCCAAGACAGAGAGGCGGGGAAGAAGATTAACGTATATCTATGACTCACCTTGGGGAAGAAGAGTCCAGATTCTAAGGCTTGCCTCAGGGGAGAATGAGGCTGAGAGACAGGAGGGCAGGAGATCAGAGACAAACTTTGCTTTTGAGGCCTTCACTTTGGGGTATCACTTTCTGGGCCCCAACACCAGGCACCGAACTGGGTTCTGGGATTGTGGAGATGAGAGTTACCATTCCCTGATCTTCATGACTACAAATTATCTCTGGGGAGAGGTACACATGGCTGGTTTAATACCATGTGCTCAGCTGTCTTGCAGGGGTTGAGGAGAGATGGAGACTGTCTCGGGAACTAGGGAGTAGGCTTAGCCAAGGGCAGGAATGGGGGTTCCCCAGAACTGCTAGCAGCAGCTCTCACCTTTGGGAGTATCAAGGAGACCTGGGCATAAATTCCGTGCCTCTTTCTGCATTTCTTGATTTTTAGAAGATTCTGTCTGGTTTTCCGGCCTTACCTATCTTCATTCTGCAGCATCTGCTGAAGAAGTTAGTCATGAGAACCTCCAAGCTAGGAGTTAGTTGGAGACCCAGACTCTGGTTTCTGTCTCAGCACTGACTGTTCACGTGACCTTGGACCAGCCATTTAATATCTCTAGACCTCAGTTTCTTCAGCTTTTCTTCTAAAATGGGGAAAATTTGACAGAGGTCTTGTAAACCTAAAATAGAAGACAGCTGAGAAGCTTTGTGTCTTTTGGAAGAAAGGTGTGAGAGCTGCCATAAGTATTTGGGTTGAGATGCCTTCTCTGGGAGAAGAGACATGAGTCTTATTGGCTAAACTTCCCCAGAGGGAAGACTACAGGAAGGAAATTCCAACTGCTGGGATTTCAGAGGCTCTGGGAGCTTCTGCCTCTGCTCACCAGGCCTCACATGTGTCTCTGCCCACAGGTGAATGAGGCCTCTGGGGATGGGGATGGAGAGGATGCTGTTGTGATCCTGGAGAAGACGCCATTTCAGGTGGAGCAGGTGGCCCAGCTCCTGACAGGCAGCCCTGAGCTCCAGTTGCAGTTCTCCAATGATATCTACAGCACTTACCACCTGTTCCCTCCAAGGCAACTGAGTGGTGAGCAAGTGGTGGCAAAGGTGGCCACATGTGGGGAGAATGGGATAGTGGGAAATTAGGAGGTGTGGTGGCCAGACTCTCCATACCTAATTTGCATATTCTAGTACAGTAGTTCCCAGTGAGGGAATTTTTCCCTAAGGGATATTTGTCAACCTCTAAAGACATTTTTGGTTGCCAGAACTGGGGGGATGGGAGGATGCTACTGACATCTAGGGGTACAGGCCAGGGATGCCACTAAGCATCCTACAATGCGTAGTACAGGACACCACAACAAGGAAATGCCAACAGTGTGGAGGCTGAGAAACCCTGTTCTGGTGTAGTATGTTTTGTGGAGGGGGTGTGATTCATGGGATAGAAAAAGAGATTCATCTACAGCTGAGGTCTGAATGTTTATTCCCTCCAAAGCTCATGTGAAACTTAATTCCCAATATGGTATTTGAAAGGTGGGGCCTTTAAGAGGTGATTGGATCATGAGGACTATGCTGACGTGAATGGATTAATGAATTCATGGAGTAATGGGTTAATAGTTTAATGGGTAATAAGGAGAGGAAGAAAGCATATAAAAACGCTCTTACTCAGCCTGTTGTGATACCCTGAGTAGCCACCAAAGGCAGGCCCTCACCAGATGTGCCCCCTGGACCTTGGATTTCCCAGCCTCCAAAACTGTAAGAAATAAAATTTGATTTTTATAAATTACCCAGTTTCAGGTATTCTGTTATAAGCAACATTTACTAAGTGAACAGTAATAATTTTTGACACTTATTAAACCCTTACTGTTGTGCTAGCCACTATTGCAGGTATTCTGCATGTACTAACACATCTAATCCTAAACCCTTACTGTTGTGCTAGCCACTATTCCAGGTATTCTGCATGTACTAACACATTTAGTCCTGAAAACAACCCTATTGTGAGAGGACTTCAGTGGTGAGGAAACCAAGGTTTCGAAAGGTTGCGTGTCTTGTCTGAAATCACACAGTGGCAGGAAAACTAAGGTCTTGCAGTAGACCGGGGTCTTGCTCACCACACTCTTACACCATGGGCTGAGCAGTGTGCTAGGTACTACAGAGATCAGTCACTTCCCTGAAGGAATCCACTTTCTGGTGGGAAAAACAAATAGTGTGACTGAGGGGGATGGACTTGAGAAGGGCAGGAGCTCATGGGTTAAAAAGCAGAAATTTGTTTTTAACTACAAGCATTTTTTAATTTTTTAAAAAGAAGAAGATTTCTTGCCAAAAGCTAGGCATGGCATGTGCTTTTTTTCTCTAGATGGTTAGATTTTGTAGGCAGCTTTGCTGGAAACATGAGGAAGACTGGTTGACCTTAAAGGTTCCTTCCAACCAGGAAATTCTGGGATCTGTTTTGCAACATATGACAGTTTTGTCGTATCTTTCTGTCTTCTTATTTGCCCTCCAGCGTTTAAGAACAGTTTGGCTTTACAGATATTATGCCCCACAGTTTTTCTGACAGATGCTGTCCTTTCTGCACCTCCATGAAAGGGTGCTGTTGTTGTCCTTTGGAAATACACATGAATGCTTGATGTGAGACAAGCAAACCTTTTCACTTAAAGCAAAACAGCCTGTTCCTCCATTGAAAGAGTCAGATTAATTGGTTCAGGTTGATGGAAATGGACAGCTGTATTTACTTTCTTAGGCGTTGACATTTAAGCAAATGTATTCTTCAGCACAGGGTGGCAGAATGCACTGTAGCCAAACATGGCATGGGACAGCCCCCAAACTACAGGCTCTGGGGCTATTATTTTGCTCCCTCACCTTCCGCAATCCCTCTACCCACACTCCTCACCCTCAGCCAAAATTCAGAAGGTTCTGCTCCAGAGAGCAGCCCTGTGGAATTCATAGGCTTTCCTTTTTTTCCTTTATTTTTATTAAAAGAAAGCATCAAGTAATACAGGCTTTCCTTTTTATTTCATTTTTCCAATTCTTCTGTGGCACTGCACACAAGTGCTGGTGCTCACTGCCCTCTCTTTTTGTTTTGTTCCAAGATAAGCTCTGAAAGAAACAGGGGTTATTGACTCACCCCAGATCCTCTTTCCCACCTACAACCCCAAATGTCTCTGTAACCTTTTCCCTAGGACCACCCCATCCACCCAGAAGCCCCAGCTGTTAGCTCACGTTTTCCTGTCTTAGCATGCATGCAGTGTGTTGTACTCTTACTTTCTCTTTTCCCTGCCCAAACTAGGCATGGGGACTTGGAAGTCACACCAGTTTGCTTCAGGGCCTGGTCCTCATTTCTACCTTCTTTAGGGTGATATTCTAGATCACTGGTTGGCGAATCTTTTTTGTAAAAGACCAAAGAGTAAATATTTTAGGCTTTGTGAGGCACAAATGGTCTTTGTCTCCTTCTCGCCTTCTTCTCTGCCTCCCACTTCCTCCTCCTCCTCCCCCTCCTCCCCCTCTTCCCCTTCCTCCTGTTCTTTCTTCCTCCTTCCTCGTCTTCCTCCTCCTCCTTCTTCTCAAGCCCTTTAAAAATGAAAATATCACTCTTAGCTTCCTGGTTACACAAACACAGGCCATGAGCCAGATTTAACCTGCTGGCCATAGTTTGTCAACCCCTGTTCCTGATTTTTGTCATCCAAAGTATGGTCTATGGACCAGCAGTGTTGGCACCACTTGGGAGCTTGTTAGAAGCAGGATCTCAGGCCCTGCTTTAGAGACTGCAGAATCAGAGTATTCTGCATTTTATTTAGCAAGATCCCCTGGCGAGTCATATGTACATTGAACTTTGAGAAGCACTGCTCTTTAAAAAACACCATCTGTGTGCCAGCAGTGCCCGCCTTTATTTATCCTTTCCTGACTTCAAGAACTCCAGGTTTGTATTGAAATAAATGCCTATTTGACATCTTCATTTTGAGGTCTCATAGGTATCCTATAGATGAAATGGGAGAATCCACTGTGCTAATGTACTTAAAAGCACTTAGCACGTGTTAAGTAGTAGCTGCTACTGTTATTCTGATGTTCTGCATCATATGCTGGGTCTTGTAACCTAAGAGATGAATCTACAAGTTATTATGAAAAGAGAGAGGTATAAAGAAGAGGGTTTGGTCACTGCCTGAATATAAAGGACAGAGATTCTTGAAGGTTGGAGCCATGTCAGACCCATTTCCGCTTCCCAGCAACCAGACCCATATTAGGTGCTCAGTAAGTGACTGCTGAAGAATGAACCCACAAACTGACCCAACTGTGTATTCTTTTTCCTGTGGGCTAGGCATTCCACAGCCACAAGGTGGTAGTGTTTCCAAGGTGTTCCTGCTGCCGGCTTCTCTGGCCTCTGAGATGTCCTAACCAGAGCCTTCTTGGCCCCTGTTTCTTCAGTCTCAGTTTCAGAATCACCAACTCAATGCTGCCCACCCTGAGGACCCTTAAAATATAGTTTCTGTAGCCTCAGCCCTCTGGGCCCCCTGCACAAAAAAATTGCCCCTTTGAATTTTTCTGCTGTGTCTGGCTGCTTCTCCAGACCTCCTTCCCAGAATACTGCTTGCCTAGGGGAGCCCCCTACCTCTCATTTCTGAGCTGGCTGCTGAGCAGAAATCATGTACTCAACTGATTTCTTCTGGTATTTCTCTGGCCACTTCCACATTTCTTTTTTTTTTGTCCTTTTTGAGACCGGCCACACCGCGCTCAGCCAGTGAACGCTGTGAGCGCACCGGTCATCCGGGATCCGAACCAGCGGCGGGAGCGCTCCTGCGCTCCCAGCGCCGCACTCTCCCGAGCGCGCCACGGGCTCGGCCCCACTTCCACATTTCTTCTCTTCAAGTCTGAAGATTTTGCAGTCTCATTCATTTATCCCCTCCAAATTCTTGGCTGATTGCAATACTCCTGTGACTCCTGTGAGCCACTCATGGCCCCTACCCCAATGACATAACGGAGAGAGCATGGTAGCTGGGAGCCAGGTATTCTTAGGTTCTGTCCTGGCACTAACATTCTCTAGTGGTGTGCACTAGGGCAATAGCGTTTTGTTTCTGAGTTTTAGTACAGCACAGGGGTTAAGAGCAAGCTTCAGGTCAGACAGACCTGGGCTGGAATCCTGGCTTTGCCATTTACTAACCTTGGGAAGTTTACTAGACTTGGGAAGTTTCTTTATTCACTTAACAAATGTGAAATGTCTGCTGTGTGCCAGCTACTGTTGAGTACAACAGATATTATCCCTGTCTTTGGAGTTTTAGTGGGGAAGGCAGACAGCAAACAAGGAAACAATTGTCTATGTGGTCATGAGTGGAAGAGGAGTGTTCAGACTTGGAGTCCGGGGGAACCCTCTGCAGCAGACATGATACCCAAGCTGAGACCTGAAGGATGGGGCAAAGAACTGGTGAAAGGTGTGGGGAGAACGTTCTAGGGGCAGAAAGAAGAACAGAAGGGAGGCCGTTATATCAGGAGCGTGGGGTGAGTGGTGGCTTGGGAGTGTGGTACAGATAAAGTTAGGGAAGTAGCATCGGTTATTTTCTCTGTTAGATTAGGTTGGTAACTGAACATACATCAATGTGATGGAGAGGAAGTAGATAAGGAGGTGTTTTACAGCATTTTTTAGCTTCTGCCCACAACGAGAGACACATATTACATTGTGATGTAGTTGCATAAATGAAGATACATGAGTGTAAGTGAAACAGTTTTAAAAAAAAAATTTACTCTTACTTTATGGGATACTCTCTAATATTTTCTGTTCAATTCCAGTCTTGTCTGTTTCCTTTTTTAAAATGCTAGTCTTAACCTCCTAAATTGACTTTATGGCCACTGTCATGGGTTATGACCCATTGTGATAAGGTGTGTAAACCACTTTAGACAGCAGCTGGCATGTGGTATGTATCTGATACGTATTATTATTGTGTTATCTTTTATTATTTTTCCACCTTTAAAATTATATGAGCCTTAAATGGAACAATATGAGTAACATATGGAAAAGTGACTGACCCTGACCATGGTAGGTTTCCTTTCTTCTTCCTGTTGCCATACGGCAAGCGTGAAGAACCTAGTGGGCCAGTCGTCTGGCATCTTAGTGCTTCCTCTGGCCATCCAGGCAGGGCAGAGCCTGCATTTTCTCCTGCTGC